ATGGCCACTTGTATACCGTCGATGTCGGAATCGGCATCTTGGTTGTCGATGGTGTCGGCGCTGTCGACTCGGTCGAAGAAAGTATCTTCCAAGCCTCCCTGCATGCCTGCGGTGCCTGCGGTGGCGGGTTTAGCTCCAAGATGGTCCGTTTCGCATTGTTGTCCACTCGAGGCCAGTGGTGGGTCCGCGGCGTTGTCTTGCCCTACGACAGCGGCACCCGACAGCAACTTCTGGCTCTCGCTTTCGCTTCCCTTGACGGCGACCCCGTCCACAATCGGCGTGGTCTTTCTCTTCTCTTCTGAGGACGGGCGGCGGAGCCCGAGACGGCTATGCTAGTACTGTTCACCGACTAACCGACCCCTGCACACGAGCCGGGACAGATCAGCTGTCATTTTACCAGACCTGACGGGTACTGTAGCCTCTCCGTCGAATGAAAGCCCATGGCTGCGGGTCGGCTTCTGCGTAGGGGTGGCGGGGGCCAGTTGTAGGAAATCCCAGTCACCCACCACTCGGCGCCGATTCTCTATCTGGCTCACCATTTTCAAAGTGGCTTTCAATGTAGTTCGCTGACGAGCGGACGACGCTCAATTCGACACGTGAGGAAAAGATGCTGCGGTTTCGCAATGGCCGGACATGATATCCAGCTGTATCCAATATCTGATCCAAACGGTTAACCCTCTAATAAGAGTCAGTACCATTATTGTTGCTCCGCTGATTCTGGCTCTTACACGCTTCCGATATCCGTCAGTGCCGGCTCAACATTGCAGAGGCCGCGAAAAGTGGGTTTGGTGTTGCAGTACGAATTCATCCTATGCTTAATTATCATTTTGATGAGATTCGAAAAGAATATCGCAACTTTGCGACGTCGCGCGCCGCGGCCCAGGTTGGCAATCACTGATTCAGATTCAGCTCGGAGGATACACTGCAGAAACTCAAGTAATGGTTCCGAGAGATGCGTGTCCCGTGCGAGCAATCTCGCCTACGTAGCGCGTCTATGTAGCGATGAGTACATAACTTGAGCATCCAGATCTTCAAGACCTTGACCCCAAATCAGACACCAGTACTCACCCCGTCGCTGCAAGTCATACTTTGTCCTCAGCCCCGGCCTTCAGCATTTTTCTTTTCTTTGTGTAATACCTTGCACCTCCGCATGAGGTGACAGGGAATCAGGTCAGCATCACGAGTTATGGAATCGACACCCAACCACACAATAGATATTCTTGTGGTCGGTAGCGGCGCCGCTGCCTTGGCAGCCGCTGCGACAGCAAAGCAACTTGGTCTTCGCACATTGGTTATCGAGCAAAGCGATAAGATTGGAGGCACAACAGCGTATTCTGGAGGCACCATATGGATTCCCCAAAACTCGGTCTCCGAAGCAGCCGGCTGTAACGACTCCCGCGACGCTGCCCGACAATATCTGCAAGATTCGCTTGCGCTTAGCGGAGGCCCCGGGCCGGAATCCACCGCCGCGCGGATCGACGCCTTCCTGACTGGCGGACCCGCGATGGTCAATTTCTTCCGCGGTCTAGGCCTTCGGTGGAGACATTCTCCAATCCCCGACTATCACCCGGAGATTCCAGGTGCCATGGACGCAGGCGGGCGGACGCTAGACCCCTGTCCCTTCGACGCTGGGACGTTGGGACGCTGGGCTGATCGTCTGCGCCGGCCTGGACACTCGGCACCGGCGGCTTACTTTCACGACTTCGTCGTTTTGACCAGGCCTTACGCGTCCGCCATCGACCTTCTCACAGTATGTTGGATGAAGCTGCGGGCGTTTTTCCGGAGCAAAACCATGACCAGGCCGACCTACATGGGCAGCTCACTCGTCGCACAGCTCTTAGACATCTGCCTTCGTAAGGGGGGCACGGCATTCCAGGTTCAGGTGAACACCAAGTTCAAAGATCTGCTCGTCGAAGAGGGAGTCGTCTGTGGCGCTGTTGTGGAGTCGAAAGATTCCGGGGTGTTCAAGGTCTATGCTCCCCACGGGATCCTCCTGGCTGCCGGTGGTTTCTCTCGACGTGAAGATCTGCGGCGGGAACACCTGCCCCTCATTGGACCCGAGTGGACGTTGACGCAACCTGAAGGCGACACGGGAGATGCTCTGGAAGCAGCGTGCAAGGTCGGCGCGGCCACGTCGCTCATGGGCGAAGCGTGGTGGATCCCCACAATCATCGATCCTGGAAGCGGGAGGCTCACGACCGCCTTGTTTGAGCTGTGCAAGCCCCACTGCATTGTTGTCGACCGGCAAGGGTCAAGACTCTTCTCCGAGGCCGACCCGTACGGCGACGTGGGTCGTGCGCTCTATCATCGGTCTCGGAACGATGACACCACTGCCTGGCTGATACTTGATTGGAGCTACCGGAGTCGGTACACTCTAGGGTCGCTTAGCCCTAGGGTCGAGCCGGCTGACGCCCTAGCTCGTGGACACATCTTCCGGGCAGACGACTTGGCCAGTCTCGCAGCTCAAATCGGCGTCGAAGCCAACGGTCTGTTACGGACGGTTGAGACGTGGAACCAGGCGTGCAACGACGGAGTCGATGGACTATTCGGCAAAGGCCGCAGCAAGTACCACCTCTTCGTTGGGGACAGAAACGCAAAGCGACCAAACATGGGAAACCTTGATGAACCCCCATATTATGCCGTGAAGGTGACTCCGGGAGACGCGGGCACCAAAGGCGGCCTGCTGACGGACGGACATGGGCGCGTGGTAGATACACGTGGCAACGTCATTGGCGGCCTATACGCGGCCGGCAACTCATCGGCGTCGGTCATGGGTTGTGCGTCGTTGGGAGCCGGGGTTACTCTCGGCCCAGCCATGACATTCGCTCATCTTGCGGTACTCCATATGTTTGACAGGCGCAAGGCCATGGGCGAGCGAGGCTTTCCCTTAACCAGTCAGGAAGGTAGCGATATAGATGCATAGTGATTACGCGGTGTGCTAATTGGTCGGCTAGATTCTAATAGATGTGTCAAAAATTAACAGTTTCCCAAGTTGAAAGATTTACTCTTAAGTGCCACGTTATCATGCTTGTAGCACGAGTGACCAAAATCACGTAATACCTACACTCGCATCAGTCATCTGCTGTATTAGATTGTCACATAGACGGAATTCCTTTATATCTAGTGTGCATGGGTCTTTACCTCTGGTGTATCGTAAGTAAACCTCAGGCAAGGCGGCACATTTTCTTATGTCGCGAAGCCATGTATAGAATACTGGGTTTTTCGGCGTGCAGTGCTTAAGATATTGCCTGGATCCTTTTGTGAAATATCGAGCCTACTTCCGAATCGGCATCTAGACATTACGGACATTCACTGAATTTTGAAAAACCTCGCCTGCAAAAGTACATCTTTTATCGTCCTTCTATCGCCTCAAATCTCGGTCACGACGACATGGTCGTCAGCGGTTGACCAAGTGACACAGTCTAGGTACGCCATGTTCGTAGCTCTGACCTTCTCATCTACCGACTTCTAAAGCTTCGCTTTCTGAGGCGGGTTTCCTGTGCCCTTCCACTCATTGCCATAGGCAGGCAAACGCGTAAGAAAATTCTTCAAGGCCTCGCAATTGATGATGGGAGCTGTGGTGTAGTCTTTAGCATTGGTCCTCTTACCAGTTCCGGCAATAGAGGCATCAAATTAGTAAACGCCCTCTCCTCTGCTGTCCAGATTCGTGTCTGGCTGTAATTGCCATGCTCGACGTGCCAACTAGCGTCTTCCTGGATACAACGTTTCTCAGAGAGATCGAGCACTTCCAGGGGTACATTACCGGAATGCAGTGCTGCCTTAGAAGCCATGCGTTGTCCGATAGCCTCCACCATAGTTCCGCATCAAAGAGGGACCGCCGCATTGAACTCGCTGCTTCGATGACCGCTAGGTATCGGGGCCATTCTCGCCGCAATCTCGTCGACTACTCCCCTCTCGTACATGGCCAGAGGGCTTCTTCGATCGACCGGTTGAGGCAGGCAGTATTTCTGTGCCAGAAGCTCCGACGCCAGGCCTGTCCCATGAGTTAGTCGGTGGATCTCAAGAAATGCACGAAAGAAATACAGATGCTGCTGACCAGTGTGTCACCCTCTGCGACTGAAGTCCCCTAGAACGTAGACGCCAGCTCACTGATCTGTCTGTAAGCATAAAAACCCTGCCACCCGCATCGTTCGACAAGCTCGACGAGCAAATGCGATGAACCCACTACGAGTGCTTTGAAAGCGGGCGTAAGGCCTCTGCGAACGTCAGCGGTGGTGTCGGGGTTCATGAATAGCTTAACGGTCCATTCGGCATAAGCATGCAGAACCTCCCCGAAGGCCAGCGTCTTGAGTATGGGGCGCTGCTGCGTGCTGAAACTCATAATAGGCACCACTCGCCCGTGATTTCCGACCCCAACCTGCCGACGCTGGCTATACATGGCCGTGATACACCCGGCCACCTTCAAGGCCGACACGCCCATCATGG